TCCACATACCGATCTGTGTTCGGATCCCATCTTTGCCGCGCGTGCACAACAGGTGAAGAAAGAAAATCCACTTACTCTGCTCCTGTCGGCACACGCTTACCCCTCCCCCCACCACCACCACCACAAACCACACCACACACACACACACACACACACACACACACACACACACACACACACACACACACACACACACACACACACACACACACACACACACACATACACGTGCACTAGAACCCGCTCGCCCATCTCTCTCTCTATCAACATCTCTCTCGTGTGGAGGAGGGAATGTGCGGTTTGCTCCATCCGTTTCCGCCGGCGTCGCTTGCGCGGTCTTCCTTTGCTTCCTTCACTGCGTGCATCACCGCCCCCCCCTTCTCTCTCGGTCTAATCCCACTCATTAAACATCACTGACGTCATCATGCGGGCAGACGCGCTTCCGTCTCCAGCGATTGCTCTCTACAAGGTGCTCTCGCGCGCGTTGGCGCTCTCTCGCGTCTGCTATGACGTCACGCGGCGCGAGTTCGCGCACGAGCAGAGAGCGTTCGCGCTATCATGGCGGGGTGTAAGGCGCATCGCCCACGTTCATTCATTCAGCCGGCATTCCTCAGCGCGATTGGCTACGCCTGCCTGTGTTAATGACACAGAATCGGCTTGCCAACGGGCACGAGACGCGAATACTGATGACAGCCGACCGGTGCCTATATAAGGCTCGCAGCGGCGTCTGCTGCAGCATCCATCAGTCAGCCGACAGTGCACGATCTTCGAACAACAGCTATAGCGAGTCGAACGACGCGAGTATCTAGCGAGATATATATATATACGAAGAGACAGATAGGTCGTTTGTAGAAGAGATACGTCAATAGAGACATTTACCTACACGATGCGGATGTCCACGGTCTTCATTCTTTTAGCAGGAGTTGTGTCCGCGTACGGCAGTAAGTACCTTCATATGGAATATCTTCAATGAGCTGCTATTAATCGATAATAGAGTGAATTGCCTTTATTATTGCGGTCTGTTAGAAGCGTCGTCCGATGTCAATGCTAAGTATAAGTTCTCTATTTGACGGTTTGTATATTTAGAGATTAAGGGAGATAGCATTTAGGCAGCTAGTGAGTGGTGCGTTTCATGAGACGAGCTTGTTTCTATGACTACCAGTTGTTTCGGGGTGTGTATGATTAATTGTGGGCTAATCAAGAGCGAATAATACCTCTAATTATTATATAGGTCTTGGTCTAATGTATATTCATCCTTTGTATTTTCATCCGCTGTATTCTTGCTTTCTACGGCGGCGTGTGTTAGCGTTCATGCCTTCGCTTAAAATACCGCGGATTCTACACCAGACTGACCATTTCGTTATTTGGCGTTCCATTATATTACGCGTGTAACTTATACTTATGTACTTACACTTACATATTCATGCGATCGAGGGCCCGTTGTGTCAGAAGCATCGTAAATAATTAAGACTACAAGTGAAGTAGACATTGTAAGTCTACAATGTGATAACTTGCATGACGCTTTACTTCAAGCGCTATGACATTTCTGGCTCATATGATGTCATAGCGATTTATGATGCCATTCTGAAACGAGCCTCAGGAGTATGTTTTCATTTCTACTGCGTATGCGATGTATGGTCGCGTAATAGCAGACGAGTCAACGCCCTTTAACGTCGGCAACTGCCACTCATAGACACACTAGAAAACGACTAACTACGAAAGTATTATGATTATACCGGTTAATTGATCGCCATGCGCAGCAGACGCGGAACATTCGTTCACTACAATCACGCGAATAAATACCCTCACGTAAACATGGTCGCGCGCGATAGATAATAGTAGGTGTTTTGCTAGCACGCGTTCGCGATGTTAACCCAGAAGCTGACGTGTTTTGTCAACAAATTATATTCCACTTTCGCAGCGAAATGCGTGTCGCGATCTATTTTTAGCATCGTTTGTTCTCCCCGCCGCCGCACCGCCGGCTCCGACCCAAGGTCACCAGTGTTGTCCGTACGGATTGCGGATTGCGTAATAGCATTTTGTTTTTCCCTTACCTTCCCTCATATTATCTCCCCTCTTTTAGTTCCACTCGTTTGGCGCCCCCTTCTCTCGTTCTCACTCGCTTACTTCCACTCTCATAGGAACCTTCTCATGTTTTCCTTATCTTGCTTCCCCGCCCTCTCTGCCCGCTCTTTCTTCCCCTCCTGCTGCTGTCACCTGGATGCACCTGCTTCCCCTCCTGCGGCTACACTGGATCCCGCCTGTCTGCAGTAGCCAGCCGCCTCCAGCCGCGCACGCACGCGTGTTGATTCGTAGCGCGTGGGGGAGTGAATGAGTGAGCGAGTGAGTGAGCGGTGGTGATCCATGAACGGCAGGTGTCGGAGAGTGAACTCCGCCCTTCGTTCAGCAGACAGAAGGAATGCGCGGAATCTGCGGCGCTGAGAGATAGAGAGAAAGAAAGAGAGAGAGAGAGAGATGGAGAGAGAGAAAGAGAAAGAACGAGAGAGAGATAGAGAGAAAGAGAGAGAGAGAGAGAGAGAGAGAGAGAGATGGAGAGAGAGAAAGAGAAAGAACGAGAGAGAGAT